CCCTACACCGTGGCCTGCCTGCGGCCCTCAGAGTGCGCCTTGACGTGGAGAGGGGGGTGCAGCTAACCGCCGCAAGAGATACGTAACTTGATGGCAGTTGCACGCCGAGAGCGTATACACGTGTGGGGGCGCAGCTAACCGCCGCAGAAGTCATGTAGAAAGATGGGGGGGTGGCAAACCGATGCAGCCCGAGCTGGAGTGTGCCAGCGTCGGACGTGACACGTGGAAGGCCATGTGCAGCAGCCTTACACAACAGATCTGGAGCTGCAAACTGTCAAAATACCGGCTGAGCGGCGTGCAGGGGGGCGACTATTTCAGGCGACTGACCCCTGCTACCGGCAGCGGGCGGCTGTCAAGTAAACAGCAAAGGAAGGTGCGCTGGGGGAGTGCATCCACGGCCGTCCCCTGGGCACCGAAAAGAGTGGCTGTCGCTGCGGGACGCAAAGCAGGCGCACCCTGGGTGGGTGAGGCCTAAAACGCGGGCTGAGGCAGCACTCAGGCAAGGCAACCCGTCACAGTAACACTCAGGCAAGGCAACCCGTCTCAGTAACTCTCACTTCGATGGACACCATCGACCTTCCGAGAACCCCAGTCGACCTGCTGCGAAGAGGCCCACCAATGCCAGCTGCGGATGTATGGGGCGACCCGTGGATGGGGGAGCTGGTGGGTTACGCGAAGCGTCTAGAATTGATTGTTGCTGATGCTCTGGAACGCTAATTTACAATCATTGTTGATCCCCCTCTCCAGAGCCCTTCCTGTCCTTTTTCCATTGACATGCACCTCTCGGGGACTGTACCCTAGGGACAATCGTGGGTCTCCAAATTTCGCTGCTGGTCCCCGAACTACTACAACAACGGCTCCCACCTGACACTCCCTCACAATGAATTCAGAATCGCACTCTTGAGACTCTCTCGAAATCACCTAGGAACCGCGCTCTCGCGTGCGCCTTTCTGGCCATGCATTCAGAAGCCGCTCCCTCGCCGCTGAAGAACCACGCTCTCGCCCTGGACTTCCTCGCGACGCACACGGGAATCGCGCTACCGATCGAGACTTCCGCACGACACAGGCAGGACTGACGCGTTGGCGACCCGCCCGCTCGACCCTGCCGTCCTGGGTCCGCACGCCCGACCCGCCCGTCCGAGGCCGCCCGCCCGCGCCGCCCGTCTGGTCCTGCCGCCCGTCTTCCTGCTCCTGAGCCCCATCCTGCTAACCTCTCTCGTCCTGCATCCCTCTCCCTCCCTCTCGTCCCTTCTTCATCCGCCCCCCCTCCTGTTTTCGGAGCTGCTCGAACTACGCGTGGCAGGTAAGGAAGACATCCCCCTACGATCGAAGACGAAGAGGGCAGAGATCGAGGGTGTGAAATATACATGTTGCGTGACACGCGAGCAAATCACAGCGAACAGGATTTACATGATTGCTGTTGTTGGAGCTGTTGTTGGTGCTGTTGCTGTTGTTGGTGGTGGTGTGGTTGTTGTGTTTGTGGTTGTTGTTGTTGTTGCTGTTGATGTTGATGTTGTTCTTGTTGTTGTCGTTGTTGATGTTGCTGATATTGTTGTTGTTGCTACTGTTGTTGCCGTTGTTGTTGTTGCTGCTGCTGTTGTTTTTGTTGTTGTTTGCTGTTGTTGTTTGATGTCGTCGTCCCCCCCGCGACCCCCCCCCCGCGACCCATCCACGACTCACCCCGTGACCCACCCAGCGACCCAACCGCGACCCACCCGCGACCAACCCAGCGCCCGACCCTCACTCCTACCCAAACTGCGGGGTGCCACGCGTACTTGACGGTCTCGTAGCTATCACTCGGCCCACCTCACTCTTACCCGCAACTGCGGGGCACTACATACACTTGACGATGCCGTCTCTATCACTCGACACCTCCCTGCCCCTGTCCCGTCCTCCCTCCCGGGTTGGTCCGGGACTCGCCGGCAGGGACCCACCAAGGGGCTTCGCAGGCACCCTCCCGACCCGTTCTCCGAGACGCGTCCGCCCGTGGCGACGACGCGATGCAGGGCCAAGGCCCAAAAACGGAAAAGGAGGAGGAGGAGGAGGAGCAGCAGGAGGAGGACTAGACGTACCCTGAAGGCGGACTCCCCATGACCGCACTAAGCGCGAAGCGCCAAACGCGCAGCACCAAATAACTGCTGGGTTCCTGTACATGAAAGGTGTGCTGCAGGCGGCACAGAGTCTTTAGCTTGTGGAAGGTGTGAGAAAGGCCAGCACAGCGGCTTCATTGGCTTAGGTGCTCTACAGCTCACAATACTCAATGCCATAATCCGACGCGGCGCCAAGACCAAGCCAGAGAAGTGGCTCCACAGGGAAGACGAGTCGCATCTAGCGCAAAGCGACATGGTCAGAGACGCAGGCAACAGAACTAGTGAGGAGGGGGAGGAGGAGGAGGAGGACATGTGTAAACCCAGACTCATGAGCGATGTTGGGATACACCCTCCCTCCAAACGCCCTGTGTACAGGCCCCACGCAAAGATTCACGTCCACTGAAGGACGTGCCCCGTTGAGAGACAACCGTGTGAAAATCCTGAAGCGTGCCAAGACACCCCTCTTAGGACTTCAACGCCGCGAATCAACCTGACTGTTACGTCTGGACGATCCTGAGTCGTGGCAGAACACCATTCCTGGGACTTCAACACCGGAAATCAACTGTACTAAGGCGCCCTGACAATCCTGAATCGCTCCAAAACACCATTCCTGGAAGGTTAACAATGAGAATCCGCGAACTCTTGCAAGCTTCAGAAATGAATTCGCGCGGCGCTTAGGCAAGAGCCACTTTCTCAAAACCACCCGCCCTCAATCCGCGAAACTCTTGCAAATTTTCAAAACGAATGTGCGCGGCGCGAAGGCGAGAACTACAGATTGAAAACCAAACGCCTTCAATCCGTGAAACTCTAGCAAAAATTCAAGACGAATGTGCGCGGCGCTGAGGCGAGAGCCACACTTTGAGAACCACCCGCCCTCAATCCGCGAAACTCCCTCAAGAGATAAAACCGAATGTGCGCGGCGCTGAGGCCGGAACCACACTGTGAAAGCGACCCGCCCTCAACGCACGAATGTCGTGCACTGTGTCGCGACGAGTGCGCGCGACGCTCAGGCGAGAGCCACGTTTTCAAAACCACCTGCCCTCAATCCGTGAAACTCTTGCGCATGTTCAAGACGAATGCGCGCGGCGCTTAGGCGAGCGCCACATTTCGAAAACCACCCGCCCTCAATCCGTGAAACTCTGGCGAATTTTCCAAACGAATGTGCGCGGCGCTAAAGCTGGAGCCACATTGTGAAAACGACCCGCCCTCAATCCGCGAAACTCTTGCAACGTTTTAAGACGAGTGGCGCGGCGCAAAGGCGAGAGCCACAGTTTGAAAGCGAGCCGCCCTTCATTTGTGTAACGGCTGCCAGTGTCTAGCCTCTGTTTCATAAGTAGCACGGAAGTCTCAAGGGAAACGCCTGGCCCACCCTTCCGACCAGCCTCGGGGTGCGACAGGGAGAAATCATTCACAGGGCAAAAGACTGGAGGAGGGCGGCCCCTCCTCTCATCTCGTACCTCCCATCCCCTCCTGCCCTGGGCCCTGAAGCTCTCCACCCGATCGACAAGGCACTGTCTTCGTCCTGGGCCATCTGTTCCTTGCCGCGGGCCCACAAGATGGCCCCGAGAAGTCCAACCTACGTCAAAACTCCTGGTCAGGACGCCGACTGCCATCGGGAAGACCCCATGGGCCCGCACCGAAGGCCACTCCGGCGAAGGATCACTCTCACGCGTGGCCGACCGATGCTCGCTGGCGTCTCGCTGGCCGGCGCCCCCCAAGGCCTCCAGGCCCGGCACTTCGCGCAGCAGTCCTCGGGCGTGGTCCGCTCCTCGGGAGTGAGCGGGCCGCGGAGGCGGCGGAGGCGCGGCGGCGCGACTCCTGGACAGCGGACGCTGTGAATTTCTCGTAGCTTTAAGTCGGGCCGGTCCCCCTACAGGGGGATTCTGGACGAAAAATTAAAAGAATACCCAGAAAATAATCCAAAATGGTGAAAAAATACTCGAAAAATAGTCCCCAGACTATTTTTGGCTATTTCTGAATATTCCCCCTGTGAAGGGACGGGCCCGACTCATCATAGCACGAACCCAAACGTGCCCACCCTCTCCCTGGGCCTAGAGTCTCGCGCTGGGTGCAACTTTGAGGGCCCCGAGGCCCAGGAGGAGGGGCCCCAGGGGCCGACGTCGAGCCAAAACGCCCAGGTCGAAACAAGTCAGATCCTCGGAGATTTGGGGCCAGCCAGAATCCAGCGACGACCCGTCGCCCCGCCCTGCGAAGACACCCTCAGACACCTGCGAGGACGCGCTGGTAAGTTCCAATCGGGAACCGCAATCGTGGCCAAAGCGGTGCAAAATCACTTGCGGGTTGGAGGGTGGGATGTTTGAGCGAGCAGTGGAGCTAACGACTGCAATTTCCACATGTGAACTGAACCACATACATTGAGCCGCATGGATTGCATCCGTAGAATGCACAACATACAGTGCGCATCGAGAGTGCAAGAACCCATCATTCAGGGTCCGTGCTGGCAAACATTAACATACAGTGCGCGTCGAGAGTGCAAGAACCCATCATTCAGGGTCCGCGCTGGCAAACATTAAGAAAACCCACGCCTGGGCACCCTAAACTAAGAAGAAGTGGGCACTCATCCTCCACCCCCCTCCCAGACCATGCCGGTCCACGACGCCGAGGTCCACCCCCTGGAAGTCCACGTCCTCCTCGTACGTGCACGGCGCGCTCTCGTCCCAGACCTCCATAGCCACGAGGGGAGGAGGAGAGGAAGGCCTGTTCCTCCTCCTGCTTCTCCTCCTCCCCCTCCTCCCTCCACCTCCTCCTCCTCCTCCTCCTCCTCCTCCTCCTCCTCCTCCTCCTCCTCCTCCTCCTCCTCCTCCTCCTCCTCCTTCTCTTCCTGGCGAGCGCGAGTCTGCTTCGCACAGCGCTCTGCGAACCGGAGCCAGCAGACACCCCGCCACCGACTCAAGCAGGGCAGCTCCCCCAGGAGTGACACGCTGTCTGAAACAGCGGCCACTCCCAGGGGGAGTCTGACGGCGGGTTCCTCCTCCTCCTCCTCCTTCTCCTCCTCCTCCTCCTCCTCCTCCTCCACCCACTCCTCCTCATCCTCGTCCTAGTCCGCCTGCTCCTCCTTATCACCCTCGTCCTTGGGTCTCGAGCCACGGGATGGCGCCCTCGCCGCCGCTACGGCCGGGTCCGCCTCGGAGATCGCGGTCAGGATGCGCTCGGCCCAAATGGCAGGTCTGGAGGCGACTTCAAAGGCGGACGACCCAGATCTCCAGGGCATCGCGCAACTAACTGTTGCTCGTGGACCTGGCGTTCCCACAGATCGAAGTAGCCAGGTGGGGCTGCAAGAAACTAGTTGGCACCAAGACGCGTTGCGCAGAAACAGAAGAAACAAAAAAACGTGTTTTTGCGTGTCTCTACAATCCCTTCGTCGAGAGGCTGGTTGCCGGCCCAAGGACCCACAAGACACGATCGGGGGCACAGGACGGGTCCTGAGGATGCGGCAAAAACGCGGGACCAATGTCGTGGAAAGACAAAGTGCCGCCCCAGATGTGAATCCACGCTCACGCTGAGGCGCTTTCAGTCATGCCCATGCTCTACCTGGACCGACTACGGCGCTGACCCATTGACGGGGTAGGAGGGTCACTAACTGTGGCGTTACTCGTCACAACAGCAGCGATCGGGTGATTTCAGCCAAAACGATTAAGGTGCCTTGCCCTTACCATCTTCGCACGTTCTATTGCGCAATTCGCTAATACAAGAGGAAGAGAAAAGGACTGCCGCACGTCGCCCTGCGCACACCCAACGTGGAAGAGAAAAGCGGAACAGAAGAGAGGGGGGGAAAAAAGCTGTGGCGGGATGCCTTGCAAGGCCACCTCATGCGATCACACAATGCATCTGAAAGCCTACGTTATCCCACAAAGTGGGCCTGTTTGTAGGCAGAAGAGCGAGCTACCCTTCTCATGTCTGTGAAAGCCAACTATCACATGGTGGGATTGCTGCTGTGCCTGAAGACACAATAAGAAACTGACCGCTCCATGCGTGCACAACCATTCGAATCAAGAGAAACCGAACACACATGCAAGGGACAGCTTAACCGAAAGGATGATACCAAACTATTGCACGCGTCCCCCAAGAATGTCACGTCACGGACGGTGTGCACATTGTCACGGATCTGATCCGTTCTTTTTTTCCTCGCCAACCATCCACATGCCTTTAGTTCGTGCGCGTGCCGTTCGCATCACGGGCCAGGTGCAAACAGAGCGCGAAGCAGGGACAACGCTGCCAACGCAGATGCATGCAAGCGTCCAGAAAAATAGCGCCCATTCTACAGAGGCGGGGGCACGCAACGGAATTACGGCGGCCCGCAAATCGTTTCATCTAGTACTGGGCATCCGCCGCAACGGTCTGGACGGTAACGTGGCGGGGGGGGAGAAGGAAGAGGAGGGGGAGGAGGGAGAAGGAGAGGGGAACATATCGGGGACCAATCTGAAATCGAAGATAGGCGGGTCCGTCAAGCAAAATGTTGCCTGCACGACCCTCCCAGCTCAGAGGATCTACGATCAAGCACGCTGACCTGTAAATGCCGCGCAAGGATGTCCCAACGCAGTGAGACAGGCGAGGCAAAGAGTTGTGCCCAAAGGGCAACTGATAGACTGAATAGTGGATTAGGCTGTCCACACGGCCGCGCCGTGTGGAGGCGGCAAGCCAACGAAGGCAGCGCGGGCAAGTAGCGGCTCCCAGAAGGGAGCGGCAAACGAGACTGGGCGGCACGTCGGTGGCCCACCACCGCGCGCAGCCGGCGCATGGGCCAATTTTCTACACACGCGCGGCCACCCTGGCGCTTGCCGTGCCAAGATCCCCGGGGAGGGGGAGGCGAGGAGGCGAGGCTGAGGACGGAGGACAGGAGGATACGAGGGCGACTGCACGCCAAAGACGAGCGCTCGGGGCCTCCACAGCCGCGGACACCTCCGAACAGGAAGGGCGGGCGGCGGGGGGCGGTTGCACGTTCGAATCGAACGCTCGGGGTTTCCAAAGCCGCGGGCAAACCTGCCGGCTCAGACAAACAGATCGGCACCACGATTCGGAGGAAGATGGACGAGGCGGATGGAAGAGGCAGGGGGCGGAGAAAGGGAGGGGAGGAGGGCGGCTGCACGCTCGAGTCGAACGCTCGGGGCCTCCATCGCCGCAGACGCAACTGCAGGCTCCGACAAGCAGATCGGTACCACGATTTGGGGGGAGAGGGAGGGCGAGGAGGCAGAGGACGGAGGAGAGCGAGGGGAAGAGAGAGAGAGGCGAAACATATACCTCATCGATGTGGGCGGTGCTGCGAACCATGGTGGTCGCCACTCTGCCTGCGGCGCACTGCCTGGAGCCCAGCGGTGAGAAGGACAAGGAAAACACGAACGCACGGGAGGACGAGGGAGGAAACGGCACTACGATCATCAGAAGAGCTCCTGGAGTTTGAGCCTCAGTGCGTTGCGACACTCGAACAAGCCTCTGGCGGCCGTGCGGCGGGCCCAACAGTGCGTGAGATACACGCCGCACGTGGCCAGAGCACGTCGTCGCAGTTCTGGCGCGGTCGTCTCAGAGCACGCCGGCTCGAGCAGCAGGAAACTGGCCAGGCGTAGCTCTGGCGCGGTCGGGCGCGCCAGGCCAGTTGGCGGCACACTGCTGCGGACGCGCGAGGACACTCTGCACAATGCTCGATGGAATCTTCTCCGGCTGCGCAGCCGAAGTAGCAGGCCGACCGCGCCTGGAAGCGGCCGCTCGTGATCCAGTCATTCCAGATTAACTAAATACACGCGGCTACCGCCCGCGGAAGGGACGTCTGGGCCACCGCGGGGAACGTCGTCAGCACCCGGCACACCATGGTCTGCACGGAGAAGCCGTTCCCCACCCTCGATAGTCTCGTTCGCAGGAAGGCAGGTAGCTCGGGAACGCGATCGGGTGTGATAAGCCGAACGCGAGTGCGCTGCCACACCTTGCGCTGTCGATCGACGCCATTGACTCCGGTGGCGCGGGCCTCTCGCGGGGGCGACAGACCGCGCGCCTCGAGGGAGGGCCCGGCATCGTCCAGCTGCAGGAGGAACGCCCGATCGAACCATCTCGCCCAGGCGCAAAGACGCTCCAGAGACTGAGAGCAGAAGAGACGCACCTCGCGGAGCCAGGCAGCCCGCTTCGCCACGCGGAGGCCGCCCTCTGAGGCCGCCCCCCACCGGCAGACCCGATACTTCGATACCAGGGCCACCACGGGGAGCGAAGCGAAGCGGGGAAGCCCAGGAGCGGCAGGCCGCGCGCGGCAGCTGGCGGCGCACAGCGGACTGGGCCCGGGCGGAGCGACTGCATCGCCTCAGCCTCCAATCTGGGGTACCACGCCAGCGGAGCGCCCAACTGCGCCAGGACGTCGAGAATGCATACACCGAGTAAGCCACCGCGTTAGTGCACATCCCGCCTCCGGAGCGGCCCCGGCCCTGGGCGCGTTTCCTGAACTTCGCGCAGGCAGCATCCCAGCTGTGCTCGCTGCGACCTGGGCCCAGAACGAACCCGAGATATTTCGCACGACGCGCGATTCGAACTCCGCTCCAAGAGGGCGCGCCCGCCGCCACATCTAGGCGCGCGCTGACGGGGTCGCCCGTCTGGAGCGGGACCCAGACAGTCTTGCTGACAGCGAGGCGGAGGCCCGACATGGCGGCGCACTCGTCGAAGAGCGCCTCCAGCGAGCCGGCGGCAGCGCCCTGCGGGAGGACCAACGCCAGATCGCTCGCGCAGGCCCGCCGCGCAGCTGTCGGGAACTCGCGGCCGAGGCGCCGCAGCAGGAGGCCGGCGGCCACGGCGAAAGGCAACGGAGACAACGGACAACCCTGTCGGATGCCCGCAGTAACCGGGAAGGCCTCGCGCAGCCCTCCCCCGACGACCAGTTTGCACCTGTTGCTGCAGTAGCACAGCGCGCCGACGTAGCCCAAGACAGTCGCTGAGAGCCCCGAGTTCGCGAGAACCTCGAGGAGAAACGGCTGGCCCACGGTGGGGAACGCCGCGGCGAAGTCGAAGAATACGGCCGCTCCGTCTGGCGCCCCGAGCGCGGTGACCTGCATTGCTTCGTCGACATCCACGACGTCTGCGAGCAGGCAACGGTCGCCGACGAACCCACGTGGCTCTGGAGAGACTATTCGCGCGAGGCGAGGCTCGAAGCGGTGGCGGACAGTCCCAGCGAGAATCCTGTTATCCGTGTTGGCGAGGCTCAGGGGTCAGGTGTCGCTGGCAGCGTAGTGAGGGACTCCGTCTGGCCCTTCTCCTGTCGCCGTCTTCGGCAAGAAGCCCATCAAACTGCCGTGGTAGCTCGGCATCTCATTCATGATGGCCTCGTTCACCTCTGGGCCGCTCAATTGCGCGTGGGCGCCGTGCAGAACTTCCGCGGCTAGCGGGCCGAGCCGCTTCCACGCCGCGATAAGCAGCCCATCTGGGCCGCGCGCAGTGGACGGCGCTTGGCCCAATGCGTGCCGCCCGTCGCCCAGGCGGAGGTGCCAGCGCGGGTCGCGGGCCGCTGGCAGTTGTGGCGTGCCCTGTCCTGCACGGGCAGTCCGCTCGTTCTGCAACCACTGCTGGCGGAGGCGCCTGTCCGTGGGCCGCGCGCTGAAAGTCGCCCCCCAGTTCTCGCGGAGGGCGCCGGCCATAGCTGCAGGCTGCGTTAGCACCTCCCCTGTGCGGCTGAGCACGGACCCGCAGCGGCACGCCGCCAGCCTTGCGAGTAACTGCCAGTTCCGGCCGCGCCGCACGGCGGCCTGGTGGGCATCCAGCAGTGGGAGGTCCGCTCAGAGCCGCTGGAGCTCGGACACCGCGTGCTCGCGGGCAAGCTCCACTGCGCGGTCCCAGACGGCCTGGAAACGCCCAGCCGCGCGCAGCTGGGGCGAGTACGGATTGTCTACCAGGTTGGCCATGCGAGGGTAGCGCTCTCAGCA